GCTTTAACTTCAGACTTCAGGTTCTCAGAACTGGGAGAGAATAAATGGGCTGTAAGCCACCCAGTTTGTGGTCATTTGTCACGACAGCCCCGGGAGACTAATACAACACCCAAACCCTTTAGAACGACCTTTTATATTCTTTCCACTGGGAGCTCTGGGCGTGGGCCACCCTTGGAGGGAGTGTGGGCTCCAAACCGGGCTCACGGGTTTACTGTGCAGCGGTGGCGTAACGGGGCCCAAAGGGTATCAGGATGCACCGCCCCTGCCCCCGCCCTCACCGAGCAAGCATCTTTAAGGCGGGAGGGGTGGGGAACGGCAAAGAGCACAGGCTGTGGGGTCACACCGCCTGACTCCAAACCCCGGCCCCCCATTTCTTAGCGGGACAGCGGTAAGCACGCAACGTAACTGTTCCGTCTCCTTACCCGCAAGCCAGGGTCATCGTTGGGCACGGTTAGGCCTTGTGAGTCATATAACCTCTTGCAATTACTCAAACCTGCTTGTGGCACAAAAGCAGCCCCAGATAATATGTAAACCGAGGGGCGTGGTGGACTCCAATAAGGCTTTGCTGACGTACACCTGTGGGCGGGCCAGGCGGGGGGACTTGGCCCCGGAGCCGTGGTCCCGAGGAGTCAGGAAGCAGGGCCCCGGCCCTTTGTCCGGGTGGGATGGAGACTGCGGAATAGGACGGTGCCGCCCAGACACAGCCCTGGACCCGCGGCCCTTTGGTTTTTCGCAAAATGAGAACATGAGGGCATTGCGGTGAGTTTTTCTTAAAATCAAATCTATCGATCCCTGTTTAATATGACCCCGCCCTCCTTAGCTTTAATGGTGCACCCGTGTTCTCTTGTCTAAAGTGATGGTGTGCATTTAACGTCCTACCTGGGCAGCCCTGTGTCAGTCTCCTCCGTCTCTAATTTTTTTTTAAATTTTATTTATTTATTTTTAGAGAGAAGGGAAGGGGGAGGTGGAAAGAGAAGGAGAGAAACATCGATGAGAGACAGAGAAGTTGATGCGGCTGCCGCCCGCACGTGCCCCACAACCCAGGCATGTGCCCCGACTGGGAAGTGAGCTGGCAACCCCTCACTTTGTGGGACGGTGCCCCACCGACGGAGCCACACCAGCCAGGGCTTATTCTTTATTTTTTTAACCACTATGTAAAATCCAAAAGCCTGAGGGCCACAGCTCTAGACTCCAGCTAGGCTCCCGAGAGATCTCAGTCAGGTATAGGTGCTCTTTTCCTCCGCTTCCGTCCCTGCCTTTTACCCCCCAGCTGCCTCCCTTGGGGACGGGTGATGGGCTCGCTGCCCCAGGGGGCTGCAGACTCAAGTGCTTGCGAGGGGCCAGTCAGGTGACAGGAACAGGCCCATGGCATGTGTCCTGTCTCATCACAGCCGGACAATGACTCCCGTGCGACCACGTTGCCTCATCCCCTGATTAAATGTTTGTTTTAGATTCTTAAAATAAAAGACCGCCACCCTTGCAATGACAAACAAAAACACTCCGCAGCCTGAGCGTGGCTCCTGGCTGCCCTTCCCACCTCTTAATCCAACTCTCAGTCCCTGGCAGTGGCTCGCCAGCTCCGCTTGCCAGACCATCCTTCCCCGTCTGCGCTGCAGAGCGCCCAGGAGCCCGGCTCCTGATAGCGTGGCCGGAGGCTCGGCCGGCAGCTCCGGCTCTCCAGGTGCTGGGGCGTTCGCGGGCATCTTCCAAAACACGCTCTGCAGGGACCAAACTGTCCTTAGGCACCAGGCGGGGGTGGTGCAGCCTTGGGTCTCCCTGCCGTGCCCTCCCCAGACACGGCGGGGGACGGTGCGGTGGCTGTGGCCGTGGCCGAGGTTGGTCTCGGCTCTGCCATTTCTGGGACAAGTCATTTCACAGCTCAGTTCAATCACCTATAAACGGGGGATAATGACACTAGGCTCCTCATTGGATGGGCATGAGGATTAAACAGGCCAGCAGTTTTCAACCTTTTTCATCGCATGGCACACAAATTAATTACTACAATTCTGTGACACGTCAAAAAAAATACTTTTTGACGATCAGACAAAAGAAAAAAAGAAATAGGCATAATTGTCATTCCTTCACACCGGGCGGCTATTGTTGTGTTGGCTGTTGTCACCTTTTAACTTGGCAGTTAAAGAGGGAAAAGAGGTCGGTGCCCCTGACTACATAGTCAGGTGCTGGCTGTTTTAAAAATTCTTGCGGCCCACCAGGTGAAAATCGCTGAAATAGGCTGACGTGTGTAAAGCCCTAACAGCTGGCACACGTGAAATGCTGCATAAGTATCGGCTTTTGTTTGCTCACGTCCACTCCGCCGCTGGAGAGGTGGAGGTCAGAGAAGGAGCGAGGACATTCCCAGGCAGGCAGGCAGGCAGGCAGGCAGGCAGGCAGGCCGCAGAGGGGGACCGCCTCCCCGCCACAGCCCCGGCCCTCCTCCCTCGGCCGCTTGGCCTCCCCCGGGGCCTCTGCTCTCACTTCTCAACCCCTCTGGGCTGTCCGTGGACCTCTTACAACATCATTATTTGTGCCTGTGTCCTGATGTCCCTCTTATTAGGCTTAAGTCTTCCTCTTTCTTTTCCTCCCTCCCTCCCTCCCTCCGTTCCTTCTTTCTTTCTTTTTGTATCTAGCATGAAGCCTCACCCATTTTGTTGAATGCATGAAGCCAGGAAAGCTGTTTAATACCTAAATGTCTGGGTAGCAGCTGAGAGTAGCCCCGCCTTCGAAGGTGACCCCTTAGCTGAGCATTCCATTCTGGAGCCCTGGGGGTGCTGTGCCCTGCTCCAGCCACCTCCTGCGCATGCGGGGCACAGGCTGCAGACACTTGACTGTGATGACGGGAGGGGACCTGCTGCCGGCCTCTAGTGGGTGAGGACAGGGGCCGTGATAAACCGGGTTCGGCGCACAGGACAGCCCCGCAGCAAAGGGTTATCCGTCCCCAGCTGCCATTCGTGCCGAGGCTGAGAAACCCTGGTCTGACGTAAGATTCTGCAGCAGAGAGGAGAGACCCCAGGTCAGATGACCCGGCTCCAGAGCTCCGCAGTCGGCCTTGGATGTCTTTAGAACGCCCTGGCCGCGATGCCCTGCCCCCTCTGCAGGCCCCAGCCGACTCTTTGTCCGGCTCTTTGTCCAACTCTTATTCCCAGCCCTTTGTGAGCTATGAAAACCCATCCAGTCAGTGTATCTTATAATGCTAGCGCCATTCAGGCAAGTTCCAGAGCCTTCCACCCCGGAGGAGTGGGTGCGCAGCGTTTTCAAACAAGTCTGTCTTTTCTAGCCACAGAGAAATGTGAGGTGACATTTCCTAAAGGTGTCACTTTGTAAAAATGCCAAACCTAATCTCAAGGCACAAAGAACATTGTCAAAATCAGAATTGACCTGAGGAGCCAGGGCTGGCTCTGTAGCTGGGGTTGCTTTATTGTGCTTGTTTTCCTCATCGAAGAAGGACTTTTACAACGTGTCTCTAAGTGATAATGACCTCTTATGGCTTTGAAGACAGCAAATATTACCTTGGCTTTAGAAGTTGCCTGTGCTTCATACCACTTATTGGTGTCCATATTGTTTATTTTCATAGCATCTTTGGCTGAAGGTGGGGTGGATGTTAAGACAAGGCAGGTCAATTGATTTTTTCACTTTTCCATTGAAGAAAAAAGTGTTCAAAAGGAAATCCCAATAGGATGCTGTCTCAAAGCTCTCCTGTTCTGTTCAAATGCATTTAGAACACTCAGAAGAAGTAAATGCAAACTTGGCCTCTTCAAGAAAAAGAAACAGTCGTAAACCATAATCAAGGGAAAGCTGGAGAAATTTGCGGTGCTCTCGTCCAGCCAACCCCTTGGGTATGGAAAGTAGGCATTGATTCTGGGAGAGGGGGGACCATTCAAGAACCTGGTTGCTCTGCAGGAGAACGTCATGGGTCGGCTACTGACACGTGAAAAAGATGGGCCAGGGCAGAAGAAAGGACAAAGCTCAGCCACTCCTCCTCCTCCTTCTGTTTCTGATCTGGAGAAGGAAATATATGCAAATAAAGACCCAAAGGGCGGTTGCAGGTTTGCTATGCAATTAGCAGGGCCGCTCTTTGCAGGACAGAAACTAGCTAATTAGCATCATGCAAAGAAATCATCTTGACTTTTGGATGATGCTGGAGAAGAGTTCAAGGTTAGCCTTTTGAAAGCAGGAGGCAATGAAAAAGAGAGCAATTGAAGGGTTTCCTGGGAGCTGAAAGGAAGCCAAAGGTAAGCAGAGATTGCAGGCAGTTGTGCTTAATGTCAAAATGGTGTTCTTACCTATCTGAGAAGCTGTGTTGCTAAAGACAAGCTATGTGCGCTCTCCGAGCTTCCGCTTTCTCGTCCACCGCTGACATAACAGTCCCTACCTCGGAAGGTTGTTGTGTGATATAAGAGTTAACATGTATGTAGCACTTAGAGCGGTGTGTGCAGTTAGCAAGTGCAATATGAGTGTCAGTTACTACTATTTTGCTTTTCTCTCTTCCTCCAGATAACAGAAGCTGTATGTTCTTTATGCATTTTACAATCATGCATTTTTAAAAATATCTGAAGTCTGTAAAATCATGGCAGCAACTCAACTTTGTATAGAGTTCATATCGTGTATCAGTCAGGACGTGTAGACTATGCTTGGTAACAAACACTGACAAAGCCCCCGCAGCGTCTAGCCCGCCCTCCACCCACCCTCCGGGAGGTTGGGTATTCCCGGGCCTGGCTTAGAGAGGTCCTACACCCTAAACAGGTCATACCGCCCTTCCCTCAGCATCCCGAGTACCACGCCTTACAGGAGGCCGAGGAAACCCAACACACTCTGCTGTCTCCCACTGTGGTTATTCTGAGGCTTTTAAAAAAGCTTAAATTCCATTCCAGTCACCTTCTCCCCCGTTTGGTGTCTGGGGGTCTGCCCCTGCTTTGCACTTTTCAGGCACTCGCCATGCCCCCTTGTAGGCGAGCCCGGGCTGCAGCCTAAACCTGTCTCTCGTTCTGCCCGCCTCCTTCCAGGCCTCGATGAGATCCAGTGCTCCCTGCCCCTGGAGAACAGGAGGGTGTCCCTCCGCGAGCTGTCGGAGGCCAGCTTCAGCGAGTGCAAGTTCAGCCTCTCGCTCACAGACCTGTTCATCATCATCTTCTCCGGCGTGGCTGTGTCCATCGCTGCCATCATCTCCAGCTTCTTCTTGGCCACAGTGGTGCAGTGTTTCCAGAGGTGCACCCCCAACAAAGATGCCGAGGAGGAGGACGAGGACGAGGACGACTGAGCCACCCCTCCCGTTCCTCGCTTTCCAGAACCCATGCTGGTGGCTCCCCTCTGAGAAGAGAGGGAGAAGCTGAGAGCAGAAAGGAAACCCACGCACCGCCAGTGCCCAGAGCACAGAGCCGCGCCTGCTCCGCGCCTTGTCCCCCGGACGGGTGCGCCGGTGGGACCTCTGATCTCAGAGTTTAGGACCCGTGGAGTGAGGAGCACAGGAGGGATTCCTGGAGAAGAGGCTGCTTCTCCACCTGAGGTGTGTGTGGGGGACGTGGCCAAGTCAGGCTTCATAGCTGCTGGCTGATGACCAACCTAGGGGATGTGAGACTTGCAGCTCTTGCCTGCAAAGGTGGTTTGGGGACATATGTTTTCCGACCTGGCCTGGAAGACCACGCTGCACCTCCTTCCTCCTGAGGCGGCAGCTCAGACATTGGAGATTGGGGTTCAGGTCCCTCTCCTACATTTGGTTAAAATGGTGCTGAAGAGAAAGCTAAGAACTGGCCAAAGTGAGTTTGTCGTTACATTTTGGTGAGCGGGTCTGGAAAACTTTTGTCAACCGAACTTGAACCCTGATCCTTATCTTTAGAGGTAGCACCCCAAGGAGGAAGGACAGTCATTTTGTTTGGTCATCCTGGCCTCTGCTCTGAGTTATGCTTCCTTCTGAAGGTGTTTCCCTTCCTTGTCCCCACACCCTGCCCCCTCCTCAGCCAAACAACACCTGGCCACTTTCTGCGCGGGCGCCGTTCCAGACTTGCCATCTTTGGAACTTGCGCTAAAGCCTTCCTGGCAACTAGGCTTCCGGAAAACAGGTTGCATCAGACCAACAAAATGGTAAAATATAACAAAACAAACGAACTAGGACTTGGCCTCTGAAAGACCTCCATCCGGGGCCCCAGGGGCTGTGTGACAGTTTTGTGGAGCATAGGCTGTGACAGGCAGTGTTTTTCAGGAACGTGGCATGTGGTTCACAGACAAGGAGAAACAATGTCCTGGGCCCAGCAGGTGAATGCAGGACAGCACGGCTTAGCAGCACTGGGCCTTACTGGGCTCTGGCACTTAGCTGGGGGCCTCACGGAAGCTCCAGGGGCACTTCTGTGCGCTGCTTCTCCATTGGTCCTCATAACACCATCCTTACGTGTCTTCTTCCACCGCTCCTTTCCATCTGTGCTGCCACAAAGAACCACTGAGGGTCGGCTAGGCGTCAGGCATCGAGGGGGAAAGACAGGCCCCTGCTTGTGTGGACCTCGTATTACAAGTCGTGATGAGCGCCATGAGGGAGATAAGTGAGGTCTTGTGATGGAGTAACTGGGAGAAGCCACTCAAGGGTGGGTACTTGGGCCCTGGCCGAGGAGCTCAGTTGGCGAGAGAGTCATCCTGATACACTAAAGTTGCAAGTTTGATCCCCGGTCAGGGCACAGACAAGAATCAACCAATGAATGGATAAATAAGTGGAACAAAAAAACCTCTCTCTCTACCCCTCTCCCAGCTTCCTCTTGAAAAATAAATGAGTAAATAAATAAAGTGGGTAGTTGGGTATAGTAGCCAGAGTTGACTAGAAAAACAAAACCAACAGGAGACATGTATAATCTATGTATCTACCTATCTACCTACTTTATCTATCTATCTATCTATCTATCTATCTATCTATCTATCTATCCATCCATCCATCCACCCACCCACCCAGAGAGATTGTAAGGAGTTTGCTTACATGATTTTGGAAGCTGAGAAGCCCATGATCTGAAGGTGGCCACTGGAGAGCCAAGAAAAGCTGGTGGTCTGGCTCCAGAGTCCAGGGGCCTGACCTCCAGGCTCAGTCCAGTTGGCGGGCAGGAGAAGATCTAGGCGGAGCAGTCGGGCGGAGAGCAGAGGGCAGTCTGCCTTACTCAGTCCACGGATTCTAATGCTGACCTCCTCAGAGAGATCCTCACAGACACACCAGAAACAGCACATACCTGGCCACCCTGCGACCCGGTCAAGTTGGTGTGTAAAATGACCCATCACACTGGGGAAGGGCTTTGAATGGGTGGCCTGGAGCTGAACCCTGCCTTCTCCTCTCCCCTCCTTGCCTCCCTCCCTCCCTCCCTCCCTCCCTCCCTTCTCCCACTCTTTCTCTACTCTCCTTCCCCGACCCCTGACCCTGGAGGATACTCTTGGTAACACTTTCAAGCCCCCAGCATGGTTGGCTCTGGTGGAGGAGACCCCTGGCTCAGAGGGGCTTTCATCTCCCACTGTACAGATGGAGAGGCAGGCAGCCTCTTCGCAGACTCCACGGCAGCCTCAGCGGCCGAGTCACCACCTCTGTGGGCTCCACCTTGAGCGCAGGCGATGTTTCTATTGAGGAGACCAGGTAGGCAAACTGCAATTGGTCCTCACGAACCGCCACGTGATCCTTGAATTTCAGTCGAAAGGTTTCAGCCTTTATGTACACCTTGTTGTGAGTGATGGTTCCTGAAGAAGGGCCTCGGATCAGGAGAGAGGGCACCTCCACGGATGCGGGGTCCCCGGAGGGAAGATAAAAGGCGGCAGAGAGGGCCAAGCGCTCCGAGGCTGCGAGGCTGACACACAGAACCATCTAGCGTCAGCAGCTCCCTGCCTGGCCACAGGTGCAGTGGAGACCTGTGCAGGATCGGATTGCTGCCTGTTGCCACAGCCTCAGCCCCGTACCCCCAGGAGCAGCCTCTCAGGACCCAGCTGGGCCCCCACCAAAGTCACAGTTTCTCTCAGGAGCCTAGCGAGACATGCCCCAAGCAGTAGGAATCACCAGAAGTGTTTCTGGTGAACAAATTCCCTCTTAATGTGATGACTTTATTCCTACCTGCACCAAGGGGCCCCTTGTGGTCCATGAGCACAGGCCCTGCACAGCGTGGGGGCCAGCGGCCAGCGGCCACTCCCTGAATGAATGAGTAATGAGGAGAGGGGCAACCTGGGGCTTTCTGAGCCCCAACCAACCATCATTTCTGCCGGCTGCACCCCCACTTTGGAAGGAATACGATTCTGAGGAAGAAGAGCTTTGTGATGTTGCTGGTGGAAACAGTCACTACCTGGATATAAAGTTCCTGTGAAACACCGGAGACACTGGGGACATGCAGGACGCCTGCGGGATTGCTGACGAGGAGCCACAGCTCAGCTGGGAAACACCTTTAGAGACGTGACAGTGCAGACAATAAGCGATGGTGCAGGGCTCTCTGGCTTGCAGTCGGGGCTCAAGTTATTATGAACAATGACGACACCAATGCCCTACGCCAGTGGAGGGCCTCCAGTGCCGCCGACGCGCCCCTCGCGTCTCCACAAGTGTCATTTGCGTCTCGAATGTCACCTCCTCAGAATCACTCTCATCGCACCAGCTGATGGTATTTTCCAAACAGTTCGGACCACAATGTAAAATGATCCCACTTCTTTGTTTATTGTCTGTCTCTCTGAACTAGAACATGAGCCTTCCAAGGGCAGGAACTTGGGCCGTTTGTGTCCCTGGTGTTTAGGACAGTGCTTGGCACATAGTAGTCGCACAACAAGGTAACAGGGGTTGAAAGAGCCAACAAATGAGTTCCAGGCCCCATACTAGAAGCACTACAGACATGAACGCCGTTTAGGCATCTTCACAACTCCCGGCAAGAGCTGCCATCGTCACGACCCTACAGACGAGGACCCCAGGCTCAGGGAAGGAGGATGGACTACAGTGTGGAGTGGGGCGGCCTGGCCGCTGGTGCCCCGACCGCGGCCCAGCCTCTGCAACCCAGCCCCTGCACCCAGCTGCATTCCCTTCTCCGGCCAGCAGGGACAGTGTGGAGTGGCACCTGTCCTGGGGCTGTGTGCTGGGCCCCAGGAGGAGCAGCCTGCACTGGCAAGACACCCCCAGAACAAGTTTATCTTGAGCCTCAAACCCAGCATCTCAGACCCCATCACGAGAGTCAAAACCACCAAAATATCTTGTCTCATTGTCTTGTCTCATTGTCCCATCTTAAGATCTGATGACAAAAGGTTGCGGCAGCATCACAAATAAATTCATCTTCTCGTGGTGACAGTGGGTAGCCCCAGTGTAGCTCGGACCTGGGCAAGGGGTCCCTGCTCTGGCCCTCGTCCGGCTCTTCTCTTCCCCTGGGTGAACAATGTGTGAGGCACCCACCCCGAATCCGTGCCCTTGTCTCGCACGTTCTCTGGGCACTTGGGATTTCAGAATTTCCTGCACAACTGTCCCCAGACTTGAGACTGGGCCCGTCTTCCCAGCGTCCCGCCTCCAGAGGGGACTGGGTGGCCAGGCAGTAGACAGCGCTGGGGGATGCGGACAGCGTTTGGGCGCGCAGCCTGGATGTCCACACAGGGGAGCCCAGGGTCTCTTGAGGTGCAGGATGGCGCCAGGGCTGGGGAAGTAAGGGGGGTGGGTCTTAGATGGCTCAGCTCTCCCCACACGCCAGATTTCCGGGAATTCAAGGATCATCATTCAAACCTGGTCTTCGAATGCATTAACAAGGTATTTTTGTCAAGGTAGCTGAGCAGAACACTTACTCTAACAGTTTATCTTCCTTTATGGCTTGTGAATGTTTAGATATGGGTGCGTGGAGGGTATTTATACTCTGTCCTGGCTTTCCAGAAGGGCCTGGGTACCGCAGCAGGGACCAAAGGGCAGCCACTCACCCGGGCTGTGGCCCAGGGGCGACATGCCACTTCTGCTCTGTGGAGCTGGTCAAAATGGGCCTCTCTATACAAAGAGGCTGAAAACTGCACTCACTCCGATCGCTTCCCCCAGTGGTAGGGAAGGGTTTTGCATTGAGCATTCCTGCTTCCCTGTGTTCCTCCCCCTCCCCCTCTTCTTCCTCCTCCTCATCTACCCAGTGTCCGTACAGGCTCACATGGCCCACGTTACAGGCGGCCCACATTACAGGCGTGAGTTCTCGATGCAGCCAGGAACTGGGGCCGGCGGCATTTCCGACTCTATTAAATTTAACCAGACCCGGGAGCATATCAAGGCTCTAAGTCTCCTTAACATCCCTCCACCAGCAACCGAGCCAGCCGCCAGCCCTGGACCTTGGCCACGAACTCATTTTTAGTGGCTTCTAGTGCCCTCCAGAGTGAAAGTAATTTATTATTTGTAAAGTGGTCTAGTTGTACCCGGTACAGTAAAACTTCCCCAAAGCAGACCCTTGTGGGTTTCATTTGCCTGCAGCCAACAAAGTAGCTTTGTTTTTTAAGACTCCAGGCCAATAAACACACATCCAAACTTTAAATTGTTTTCCACATAAAAGGGGGTTTTTTTTTGTTTGTATTATTTTTAAGTGAACACTGTTCTCTGCTATTTACAAATGCAATCCATTTTTTGAAAACATGCCTTTTCAGGGTGTGAGGTTATTATATTTGGGGCTTGGAAAAAAATACAACACGCTTTCATGGTAAAACCTCACACCATATTCGGGGCCGTTAGTCATGAACTCATTTTCACTGGAGTTCCATTGGAACCCGAGCCGGGAGCTGGTTTTCCAAGAATCACTCCTTCAGGGTTTACCACTCAGTGTAGAACCTCCATCGCCATGCAAGCCTCTGCTTGTGGATAATCAGAGTGAAGCAGCCTCCTGTAAAGCAGTCTCAAAAGGAGCCCGGGGTGCAACGGTCACCCCTGCAATCAAGCGTCCACTAGGTCCTCCTCACCGAGGGCCCTTGGCCGTGCCCCGGGCCCTCTCGGAGCTGCAGGCTCTCCCTTGTGAGCAGAGTAGCGCTCACTTCTTGGCAATGAAATGAGAGAACGGACCACCTCGAACACGAGGTCAGGTCGCTCCTTCAGAAGCCCAGCGGTGGGTGCATTCGTTCCTGGGTGCACAGAAGAGTGAGGTCTCAAGAGAACGCTAGAATCCGAACTGGAATCCCAGTCTCAGCAAACCGCAGCCAGCAGCCTGATGACCTCTGGCCCGTAACGCAGGAGCTCCGCCCTCACCTCCACCGTTTGGTCAGCAGCCCCCAGACCCGCTGCTGCCGGCCTCACGGGCCCAGCTGCACCTTGGTGCTCACAGGTCTGCACAAACGTCAAGGCCGCTCTTAACATGCATAACCTGCACGCCCCGGGGTCCACTCGCCAGGAATGCAGCGGAGCCACAGGAATAAATTCTCAACTGATCCTGTCCTGGTGGATCCCACCGGCCTGACTGCAAATCCACAGAGGTACACCCCCCACCCCCAACCCACAGACATTAAAGACAGTTGATCCCTGAACATACGGGGCTTAGGGATGCCGACTCCCGTGCAGTCGAAAAGCTGTTTATAACTGAGTATTGTGTTTTGGTCCAGTTTTGTGGTTGGTTGAATCCACAGATGCAAAACATGGGGATAAGGAGATCGACTGTGTATTTATTGAAAAAAACCCGCAAGTAAGTGGGCCCGGGCTGTTCAAAGCAGTATTGGTCAGAGTTACGTGTATTCCTGGGGATGGAGTCTCTCTTGGGCTTAAAACCCAGTCTGAACTGGCATCTACCCGGTGGCCATTGTGCCTGCTGAGGGTTCACCCTTGTCCTGGACAGCGTGGCCTCCATCCTCCCTGCTGAGGCTCTTGGGCTCCCCCCGACCCCAACCATCCCTGCTCTGCCCAGGTTTTTAATTCCAAACTGCCATTCCTGGAGGGGACCTCACAGGGTGACCTTCCTTCCATCCCTCACTCACCCCACAGCGACACTGTGTTCTGATGGAAATGAGCGACGCCCGCTCCGTGGGGTCGGACCATTCCCTAGGCCAGGCTCAGCACCACAGCTCCTGAGAGCATGCCGATTTCCCCAGGCCCCTGAACACCAAGGCCTCCCTTCTGTCAGATTTCCAGCCACTCGGGTTTATCGCTGTGAGCAAACAGCACCCTGCCTCCCTCTGGGGCCGGGCTGCCACTTCCTGCAGCCGTGGCAACCGCAGCATCCACACCAGGTCAGGCTCAGGGGCGACCGGAAGGGAAATGGACTTCAAAGGTTTTCAACAGCTGGTTGGGGGAGCCACGGGCTCCACGCAGTCCTCCGAGCTACCGAGGGAGGGGTGAGATGCCCCGCCATGGGGCTCTGAGGTGGCACCACGGACGTCTCCTCCATCCCCTGTATCCCCATGGAATCTCCTGTCCCCAGAGACACCCTCTAGGGCCCATGGGCCATGACCCTTATACACCAGCCCTTGAGCAAGCCTGGCAGACAGGAGCCCCTAGTTCTCACACACTCATGTGACACAACTGTCAACTGTCACTTGAACAGAGGAACGCACCCTTCCCGTCGGAAAGAGGGCCACGCCACGTGGCCTCCCTCCCTCAAGGAAGGCAGTCCAAGGAGGCGAAGCAGGGTCCTGGGCGAGGCCCACGGCAGCCGGCTTCCGTTACCCACAGCCGCTGAAATGGCTCTAACAGAGTATTTGGGAGTAGTAGCACTGGAGGACTAAAATAGCAGAGTAATAAAACGTCCAAGCAGAATCCCGGAGCATTCCCTTTCTGAGTGCTTGGAGGGTAACGGAGCTGCGCGTGCTGCTCACCTGGCTGGCCCTTAGGCTCTGCGACGCTGCCGTCCCTGTCCCCACTGCTCACGCCCTTCTGCCCCTTGGCACCCCTTCAGTTCCCCATACAGGGCCCTTGACTGGTTGTGCCCTCCTCCTGGAATGCTCTCCCCCGCACCCCGATCTTTGCTCCTTCTTGTCATTCAGGTCTCGGCTCAAACGTCACCTTCTCAGAGAGGTCCGAAGAGACCCTCCTCTGTCTCCCTCTAACGCGTCGTCACCCGGTTGCATTCCTTTATGGCGGGTGTGGGCTTCCTGCGTTCTGTTGGCTTGCTTGTGTACTGTTTCCTCGCTGTAGATTGCAAACCACGAGAGCGAGGTCCGTGCTTGGCTTGTTTATCCTGCATACCCAGAGCCTAGACCTGCCGTGGGCTTGGCGGGAGCCTGATAAATATTGTGAAGTGGATGAATGAGGTGAGTGGGTGGGTGGGTGGATGGATGGGCGAGCAAATGGACGGGGGATGGGTGGAATGATGAGTGAGTGAGTGAGTGGGCAGATGAATGGATGGGTGGATGGATGATTGGATGGATGGGTGGGTGGGTGGGTAGATGGATAGATGGATGGGTGGGTGGGTGAATAGATCAATGGATGGGTGAAAAACTTTCCACCGTTTCTGAAGACCTGAAAGCCACACATAGAGTGAGAAGAATCAACCAAGGCACAATTTACAAGATATGTGAGCGCGTTAAAGGAAATTGCCTCTTCACCTTGCAGGGGGCACAGCTCTGAGCCCAGGGGTGCCGCCACCTGAGGAGCCGCCGCCATCTGAGGAGCCACCGCCAAGGTTTCCTTCCTTAGCAGATGCCCATCTTCGTTGTAGCTCAGCAGCGCCCCCTCCGCCACGGTGTGCGCTGCAGACTACAGATGCAGACCCTGGCGCTTTGTACCTCGCCTTCGGTCTGAGAGCCCGGAGAACAAGCCCCATCAGATCCCTATATCCAGTCAGGCGGTGGCAGCCACCTCCCCGCCTCTCTGAGTCCTCCCCCCCCTCCCCACCCCCGCAACCTCCTCTCCTCCGCACGGCCAGCCTTGGCATCTGTGACTGGGTACTGAGTGACTTCCATTTGTGACCATCTGACCCCTAATTACTTCCATTAATTACTTGGACAGGCATCCCCTGCATAAAGGGCTTCAATCCTAGGGATGGCAAGAAGGGGGTGTCCTTCATTTGTCCTTGCCCACCACCTGCCTCTCGTGGGAGGGAACAGTGCGCTGTGGGGGTTATTCAATTTTCCAAAGACTCGCTCTCCGTGGAGGTCAGTCTGTCGCTGTGCTGAGTTCCCTCGAAGGGCTTACTCTCTCACTCATCCTGAATCTTCTAAAGAGCCTGACTGCTGGTTGGGAGAAACAAGTGTGATAGCAGAAGGGGCGGGGCATAATGGAAGGGCTGGATTGGCTGCCTCAGTGACCTCTGCTCGGAGCAGCCCAGCCTAGGCAGAGCAGGACCACCTGCAGCTCCCACGCCCCTCAGACCACCCCCTGCACATCCTGGGACAACACCAATCCTGTCCCGCGGTTCTAGGGAGAGTGTAACAGGCTCCCAGTTCATCTGGGTTTGCCCTTCCCCCTCGTCCCCCACCCCCAGTTGTCCCGACTAAATCTTCCCTGTGCTAGATGCTCCTTACCTGGGACTGTTCACTCATTCACTCATTCAGTGGTTGTTAACTCTTTACCCCCTGGCCTGGTACTGGTCACACAGCGGTGCAGGACAAACACGACCTCTGCCACAGCAGTTTTCTATCAGAAAAGACAAGTGAAGCAAGGAATTCCACAAATGTGACGAGTCACACCAGGAAGTGCCAGGCACCCACAGAGCCCAGCTCAGGGTGAGGGGCCAGGAAAAGGGTCCCTGGTGAAAACTAGCCACTTCGTCCAAACCAAGTTTGGGAGGCCACCAAACTCTGGCAGGGCTCCAGCGGCATAAGGCT